TCTCGGCTCACCGCAACCTCCGCCTCCTGGGTTCAGGCAATTCTCCTGCCTCAGCCTCCCGAGTAGCTGGGATTACAGGCATGCACCACCATGCCCAGCTAATTTTTTGTATTTTTAGTAGAGGCAGGGTTTCACCATGTTGACCAGGATGGTCTCGATCTCTTGACCTCATGATCCACTCGCCTTGGCCTCCCAAAGTGCTGGGATTACAGGCGTGAGCCACAATCTCTCCTTTAAAATGCACCTCCAAGGCTCCAGCTGCCAGGGTGCTGAATCCAGGTTCACTATGTCTCATGCCCATTCTAATGCTACTTAGTGGCCCCCCCGGGGCGGGGGGGGAGTCCATCCATGCATTCCTTCAGCAGATGTTGTGTCTGTGCACCAGTGCCTTCTGTGTGCCGGACCCCAAGAGGAAATTCTACTCAGGGAATGAGCTCCCAGAAGGTAGAATCCTTAGCGCTGCCCTCACCAGGGTATCTGCGAGGGCTCCGCACACGGTGGCTGTTCAGGCAACAGTGTTTATCAGCTGACTAAGCAATCAACCAGGCTCCCCTGTTGAATAGCCCTACTTTTTCCTCACTCTTGCCTGAAATTCCATTAGTGATTCATTTCTTTAAGCACTGCCCTCACTAGCCTCCCCCTTCGGAAGGGAAACACTTTCACACCCACGTTTAACAGATTTCTGATCTCTTTTCCCTTGATAAGGAAGAACAGAAAGGGGAAGTCCAGCTGGCCATGGGGGAGCTCACGTGGTGCTCGTCCTGCCTGGGGACAGCAGGACAAGAGGCTGCTGGCTGACTTTGCGCATTGCCTAGGCCCCCACCCTGACATGGGGACTAACAGTGACAGCAAGACATGAATGGGGCTGGGAGGTACCAGAAGAGCTGCATAGGCCTGGTGGCGGTGGCTCATACCTGTAATCCCAGTACTTTGGGAGGCCAAGGCAGGTGAATCACTTGAGGCCAGGAGTTCAAGACCAGCCTGGCCAACATGATGAAACCCCATGTCTATTAAAAATACAAAAATTAGCCAGACATGATGGCATGCACCTGTAGTCCCAGCTACTCAGGAAGCTGAGGCATGAGAATCACTTGAACCCAAGAGGCAGAGGGTACAGTGAGATGGGATCATGCCACTGCACTCCAGCCTGGGCAACAGAGTAAGGCTTTGTCTCAAAAAAAAAAAAAAAAATGGCTGGGTGCGGTGGCTCAAGCCTGTAATCCCAGCACTTTGGGAGGCAGAGGCAGGCGGATCACAAGGTCAAGAGATGGAGACCATCCTGGCCAACATGGTGAAAACCTGTCTCTACTAAAGATACAAAAATTAGCTGGGCGTGGTGGCGTGTGCCTGTAATCCCAGCTACTTGGGAGACTGAGGCAGGAGAATTGCTTGAACCCAGGAGGCGGAGGTTAAAGTGAGTGGAGATTGTGCCACTGCACTCCAGCCTGGCACCTGGTGACAGAGTGAGACTCTGTCTCAAAAAAAAAAAGGGGAGATCTATTTCATAGGCCCATGGACAGATGCAACCCAGAGTAACTGCCCTCCTGGAGGGGCAGGAAGGATGTGCATTGAAGTCTTAACTCCTAGGCTGCTAGTATTCTGTTTAGAAAGGCAGCATAGGCTGGGCGCGGTGGCTCAAGCCTGTAATCCCAGCACTTTGGGAGGCCAAGGCGGGTGGATCACGAGGTCAAGAGATCGAGACCATCCTGGTCAACATGGTGAAACCCCATCTCTACTAAAAATACAAAAAATTAGCTGGGCATTGTGGCGCGTGCCTATAATCCCAGCTACTCAGGAGGCTGAGGCAGGAGAATTGCCTAAACCCAGGAGGCGGAGGTTGCGGTGAGCTGAGATCGTGCCATTGCACTCCAGCCTGGGTAACAAGAGCGAAACTCCGTCTCAAAAAAAAGAAAGAAAGGCAGCGTAGCCCAAAAGACAGCAAACAAGCTGGATTCACAACTTATATCAGGATATTTCCAAAGAGAGCAAGAAACTGTGGGAGAATTATATAATGCTGTAGTGAATATGGCCTTTTTATCCTGATACAAAACCCAAAAGCCATAAAAAAAAAAAGGCTAATAAATTCAGTTTCATGAAAAAACAAAATATATAAGTCCCAGCTACTTGGGAGTAAAAACTACCAAAAGTGCAATCAAAAGACACACGACAGATTAGGAAAACATTTGTGACTCATATCACAAGGAGGTAATCCCCTTCATATGTAAAGAGCTCCCAGAAATAAAAAAGAAAAATACCAATAACGCAATAGAAAAATGGGAGCAGACCAGGAAGAGAAAGTTTACAGAAAAGCCAGTCCAAATGAATTTTAAACATTTGAAAGGCTGGGTGTGGTGGCTCACACCTGTAATCCCAGCACTTTGGAAGGCTGAGCCAGGCAGATCACATGAGCCCAGGAGTTTGAGCCCAGCTTGGGTAACATAGCAAAACCCCCATCTTTAAAACAAAAACAAAACCACCATTCAAAACCATTTTTACCTATCTGATCGGCAAAGATCAAAGTATTTCATAAGTTTGTGTTGGAAACAGGCAGTCACATTCCCTCCTGTAAGAATGTGAGTCACTAGAGCCCCCAGTGAAGGCAGTTTAATAACTTCTAACAAAGCCACTTAAGGACATATTTGCTTTCTGACCTACCAAATCCATTTTGAATAATTCATCATACAAACACTGTCACAAGTGTGAAATGACATAAGTATAAGATTAGTCATTGAAGCATTATTTGTAATAACAAAAGATTGAAAAGAACATGCCTATCAGTCAGGAACTGATGAAATAAATTATGGTACAACCTCACAATGGAATACTAAGCAGCTGTCAAAAAGCCTGAGGCTAATTGAAACCAATGTCACAGGGTGTCCTGTGAAAAAATCCACATGGCAGCATCTGGAACAAATAAGGACTGAACCAGGACACAGAAAAACCACAACTGTTGATTTCAGAGTGGATAAATTTCACTTTTCATTTTCAGTTTCCATTTCTATTGTCAGGGTGTTGCTTATGTGACTAAAAAAAAATGTCTGATAGGAAAAATGAATCCCGGTTCATCACATCTAAATCGCATGACCTAGACAGGTACAGTGGCCCATGCCTGTGATGTCACCTACTCAGGAGGCCGAGGTGGGAGGATTGCTTAAGGCCAAGAGTTCAAGATCAGCCAGGGCAACATAGTGAGCTGCTGTCTCTAAAAAACTTGAAAAACTGAGCCAGGCACAGCAGTATGTACCTGCAGAGCCAGCAATTTAGGAGGCTGAGGCAGAAGGACCTCTTGAGTTCAGGTCAAGTCTGCAGCGAGTGATGATTGTTCCACTGCACTCCAGCCCGAGAAACAGAGCAAGACTCCAACTCATTCATTCATTCACAAATAAATTTAATTTATTAAATATTAAAAGAAATGATACATGATCTGATTTAGCCTCTCTGTGCCTCAGTTTCCTCATTTGAACAAAAGGAGAATAACAGTCGCACCCCACAGAGTTTTGAAAGGATTCATTTGGGGGTTATGTGAGCAGTGTGCTGAGCCATCCCTAGGACAAAGCACCCCAGTCTAGATGGCATGCATCACCAAGTTGTCAGAAAGGGCCATGGGTGCAGAAGTGAGAGGGTTCGGCACCTGCCCCTGCCCCTCCCCCCAATCCTGCCATGAGCCAGTAGCACTGGGGTGAGGAGGCCCAGCCCCCACTCTGGCCCTTGAGTGCCCAGCCTCTGGGAGGTGGAAAGAGCATTGGTCAGCAACTCAGGCAGCTTTCCAGGGCCATGAACGGCAATGTGGGCTGAGCCCTCCATGCAGGATCTAGTTGGGCCTCAAGGGAGCTGCCATATCACTCAACCCAGGGAGAGGGAGGTGCGGTGTTGATCTGAGCTGGAGGGAGCTCACAGGTGACATCCCAGGCAGTGTCAGGTCCTCGGCACAAGCCTTCCAGGCCCGCTGGCAGGAGAGAGCACCGTACCTAGGCCTCAAGATGAGTTGTGCGACCTCCAAGCCCAGTTGGGAGACAAACTAGGCCAACCACCATGTGGCTAGCCATCTCCTCTAAGAACCTGCAGAGAACCACGAAGAGGCTGGGATGAGGCCCGTCCCCCTGACTCACCAAGGGCGGCAGGTCGGCGGGCTCTATTTCTAACCAAGGCAACTGACTCTGCGACCTTAGCCTCCAAGCACAAAGCCCACCGGCTGGGAAGCAGTGGAGCTAGGATTTGAACCCAGGCCTGCCACCCTTAAAGGCCCAGTGCAGATTCACTCTGCATTTCCTAAGGTGCATTCTTCCCAAAAGGAAGGCCATGAAAAGCTACACACACACACAGCCATACACATCCACAGCCATTTCTGGTCACAGGTGGTACTGAGCTCAACCTTCTCCTCTTCCCCATTTAAAGGTCCCCCATACACATTAGCAAATTAAAGGCTCTGACAAGTCCTTCAGGAAAGAAGTCCAGAATCAAACGCAGCTGAACATTTCCCCGTCCTTTATGTTAATGAGACTCTTTTTGTATTGAATCCCTAATGAACCTCCTTTGGGAAATGCTGACTCTGGAGTCTCCAAGACCCACCTAGGAACTCCTCCCTGAAGAAGCCTCCCTGGGCAGCTGTGCTCTGTAGAGCCCATTGGCCTCCCCTTAATTGATTACAGCCTGTATGGGGGCCCCGACTTACCCACCTCCACCTGAACTCAGGTTGGGCTAGCTGGGCACATGGGGGGTGCAGGTGCCAGGAGGGCCAGCCCATGCACCTGCCTGCGGGCCAGGATGTCCACCCTGAGCTTAGCCTCCCAGGTGGAGGTAAAAGGAGAGGCCTGAGTGAAAGATCCGGGCTCTCAGGTGCTCATGGTCTCAACAGCGCCCTCCCCAGGCAGTTTTCAGCTGAGAAGCATCTTGCCCCAGGGGAAAGCAAGCAGGAAAAGAGTTCCAAGTACCAACCGGGCAAACGGCTCCTGTTGAATTTCCTGCCTCTCCCGTGCAATGCAGAGGAGTGACTGACCCACCTGCCTCAGTTTCCCCATCTGCCACAGGTAAGGCAGTGCAGGGAATAGAGCCGTGGCCTGAATATCAGGTGATGTCAGGTACGGTTCCAGCTCTCCCTGTCACCAGTTGTGTGACTCAGGCATTTCTTCACCCTCTCTGGGCCTGACTCCTCCAGGGCAGGAAAGGCCTCCAGGATCTCTGCAGTCCCTTCCCACTCAGACCAGCAGAGAAGCCAGTCACAGAAGGTCAGTGAAAGAGGCGTCTCCCACCCAGAGCTCAGCAGGCTACCCACAGAGCGCAGTGAGGCCTCACTGTCTAGACTGGCCTCCTGTCCCAGTGGCAAGCCTGAAGCCACCACCTGGCCCAGAGGCCCCCAGTTTGGCCTCCATGACTCCAGCTCACGAAGTGCCCAGCCCCAAGCCAAGGCACTGAGACCCTCACTACCCTGAGACTTCCTGAGAACCTGATCCAGGCCAAGGGGGCACGAGAGACACAGTCTGGGTAACAATACCCAGACTGCCTCGTGAAGCCGCGCCAAAAGCCCGGAAGAGCTCTCCTGCAGGGGAAGCAGCCCCACCCGACCTCCCCAACCAACCGCAGCCCCGGCTTCCGGACCTGCACCCACATGGGGGCTCGGAGTCCCTCACCACAGCTGTCCCTGAAGCCCAAGCCCCCATTCCTGGTCACCCACTCCTTCCTTCCACAAACTCTGTCCTTACGGAGCTCTTGGGCGCGGGAGGTCACTGTGATGGAGTGTCAGGCCGCAAGAGCCCCATGGGCCCCAAAGCCAGGCCTCCCCACACCTACCCAGAACGCCAAAACACCAAGCCTGGTCTCTGCTCACCCCTTGGCCAAAAAAGGCCTCCAGACTTTCTTCCCAGGCTCCTCCGCGGCTGTGTGATTTGGCTCATTTCGGTTCCCCAAACAAGCCCCACCCTTTCATCTCCAGCTCCAGCAGCCTAAAAACACGCCCACCTCCTCACCTCCAAACGCCTTCTGCCTGCCAAACTCCTGCCTGCCCTTCAGGTTGAGCCTGAGCTGCCACCTCCTCCAGGACGGCTGCCTGGTCTCCTCCCAGGCTGGCCTCGTACCTTAGCTTCCCCAGGGCCTGCACCTCCCACAGAAGCGCAGGCCACCCTGACATGTCATACCTGGCTGCATGCCTGGCCATGCACTATCCAGCTCCCAGGATCTGGGACACAGGGACATCAAACCCCATACTCCACAGACTGGGTACAGCCAGCACTGAACTGGCAGCTAAAGACTGGGCCCCAACCCTATATTCCCCAGTCCCATCTCCATGAGCTTTGCCTCTCAGGACTCAGTTTCTCACCTGAGCAATGGGGATAAAACCCTTCTCCCCACTCCACGGCCTATTCTAGAAGTAAAATGACCTTACAGCTATAAAACCTCACAAAACCCCAGAACCACTGCACATGGAAAGGGATCCATCCTACCACAGGAAAGAGGGTGCATGTTGGTGCCCCCAGACCTCCATCTGCCAAGTGCCTCTGGGCTCCTGCCTGCAGCAGGTACAGGGCGAGACGCTGCTGCTACGACAGATAGGCACAGGTCCCCTGTGGAGCTCATGCCAGGAGGAGGGCAGATTGTCATTAATGAGCCAAGTGAGGAAAAGAATGGCAGGGCCGGGCAGTGGGGAAGGCGGGAAAGCACGGTGGAAGGTTGGCGAGCTCTGAGGGTGTGAATTGCAGCTCCACCTTGGAGGAGCTGTGTGACCTTGGGCATGTTCCTGAACCTCTCTGGGCCTGTTTCCTAACCCACAGAATCAACTGGTAACAATACGCAGTTCTCAGGGGCTTCACATAGACATGGGCACACAGCAAGTGCCATCACCCAGGGCCATCCCAGCTGGCTCCAGACACCAGGGTGAGGAGCCTGAAAAATTATGACATAAACAGGTACTGGGACACACTTCAGCACCAGGGTCTCAGCCTCACTCCTGCCTGCCCCCAAAGGGAAGCTCTGCTCTTGTACCCCTGCCCAGCAGCTGAGCCTGACAAAGGGACACAAGCGCTGGTCCCTGCCCCCAGGGGACAGAGCAGTGTCTCCAGGGAATCTGGTTGTTTCTTTTTTTTTTTTTTTGAGACGGAGTTTCACCCTTGTTACCCAGGCTGGAGTGCAATGGCGCGATCTCGGCTCACCACAACCTCCGCCTCCTGGGTTCAGGCAATTCTCCTGCCTCAGCCTCCTGAGTAGCTGGGATTACAGGCATGCACCACCATGCCCAGCTAATTTTTTGTATTTTTAGTAGAGACAGGGTTTCACCATGTTGACCAGGATGGTCTCGATCTCTTGACCTCATGATCCACCTGCCTCAGCCTCCCCAAGTGTTGGGATTACAGGCGTGAGCCACCGCGCCCGTCCCTGGTTGTTTCGAAAGAGACCACTTCCCATTAGCACAGATCCCCCTTAAAATAGCGCCTTCAGACAACTTCACAGGGCTCCTCCTCCGAGCCAGATAGGGTACAGGAGACAGGCCTGGGAGCCCAGGATCCAGATGCACAGGTACAGAAAGGTCTCATCCCAGCCTACACCAGCGCCCGGGACCCCTGCTCCAGACCCCTGAGAACAGCAGCGGGGCCAAGACAAGCCCACAAGGCCGGTCCCCAGTCCACACCCCTCCCGCTAGTGAGGCCAAGGGATTCGCTTGTGAATGGGGCGTGACCTGCACCTTCAATACAGCTCCCTCCAAATTTTTTGTATTTTTAGTAGAGACAGGGTTTCACCATGTTGACCAGGATGGTCTCGATCTCTTGACCTCGTGATCCACCCGCCTCGGCCTCCCAAAGTGCTGGGATTACAGGCATGAGCCACTGCGCCCAGCCCTCCAGAAGACACATCAGCCCTGTGGCTGTGCAGCTCCCTGGAACTCAGTTTTCCCATCGGGGGATCCTGGGCTTCTCCCTGCCCGGCCAGTCAGTGACTCCAGGAAGCAACGACCTCAGTGAGCTGCGCCTGAGGCAGTTAAGACTGAGCCGTTTCAGAGGCCAGCGCCGGGCAAGCTGGCTAGTTACAGGGGCAGGAAGGGCACCCTGGAGTGCAGGAGGGGGCTGGGGCCTGGAAGGCAAAGCACCCTGATCAGAGTGTCCTGGGTCCCACAGCCGGCTTCAGGGTTCTGGGCCCTAGAAAGCAAGTGGTGGCACCACCCACTGTAGGTACCTTCTGACTTCCAGGGCCACAAGCTCCTCCCCAGGGGACAGGCCTGTGTCTGAGGGTCATGGTTGCTCCTTCTGCCCTGTCATCTCCAGCAGGTCCCAATGCCCTGGGAGGAGGCAAGAATGAGTGGACCCTGGGGCCAGGAAATACAGCTGGAAACTGGGACACCTGCACCAAAGACCTCCCTTGGCTCCCCTTTCCCTTAGGCCCAGTCATGGGGTCATTCTGTCCAGTGGTCCACGGCTGGAGGAGACGGCCATAAAGCGGGGATGGAGAGAGGAGGGTAACCCGGCATCCCTAGGGCCCCAGCCACAGCAAGAAGGGGGCTCAAAGCAAGGCCAAGGGGGTGGGGGAGGCAGCCGAGTGAACGGCTCCGGAGCAGTGCCAGCTGGGCCCCCTCTTCTCCCCATGCTGGAGGACCCCTGAAGGAGGGCCTCACCTGGGGCACACTGCCAAGCAGAGGGTGAGGGGAACACTCCAGACAGCAGGAACTGTGGGAGCCAAGGGCGGGAAAGGGGCAGCAGAGAGCCAAGCCATGTGGAGGGTGAAAACATCAGGGGGCCTGGCCCCGAGCGGACGATGGGAACAAGCAGCGGGAGTGGGGACGAAGGTTGGGCCAGGTCCAGGAGGGCCTCACAGGCCAGGAGAAACTGACCAGGTGGCTGTGCTGGAGAACAGGGAGGACCTTCTCCTAGGCCCAAGGTCAGCCATCCACCCCATTCTAACACAGAGTCTGCTCAGGTTCATCTCAGCAGCACTGGGCTGTGCTGTGCTGTGCTCAGAAAATGCCTGTGAAACCGGCCCATCAAAGAGGACAGGCCGGGAGCGGTGGCTCATGCCTGTAGCCCCAGCACTTTGGGACGTCTTGGTGGGAGGATCTCTTGAGCCCAGAAGGGGCTGCAGTGAGCGATATCATGGCACTGCACCCTAGCCTGGGCAACAGAGCCAGACCCTGTCAAAATTAAAAATGGGACAGCAGGTGGCAGCAGGAAAGCCCAGCCCTAAGTGTTCCAAGGAAAAAGATCACCCAAGAGGAGCAGAGTTCAGTCCCAGGCTCACTGCCCCACCCCTCTCCACCCCAACACCAGTCCCTTCTAGAAAGCCTTCCAGGCTTCCGGGGAGAGCAGGGAACAGAGGGTACTTCAGCCAAGCAGGTCTGTGCTGAGAGTTGGGCAATGCCCTAGCCATGATGTGGCCAGTTGTGAGATCTGTGGGCAGCACCAGGTCAGGCCAGATGCCTATGGTGAGCCAGGGACGCCATGTCACTGTTCCTGGTGGGGAGGGGGCCATTGGACAGATGGGGCTGGTAGGATCCGCTGCACACACAGCTGGAGGGGCTCCAGCCACTTCGTGGCAACCTCTCAGCCTGGCACACTAGTCTCAGGTGCCTGGAGAGTGTTTTCACCCAGCTAGCCCTCCCATTAACCTACCTGGGCACTGCTATCAGCCCCATTTTACAGATAAGGAAACTGAGGAACAGAGAGAAAGTGATTAGTCCAAGGGATGCAGGTGACAGGGGGGCCGCTCAGCTCAGCCCTGCCCACCAGTACTTCCCAGCCACTCCCAGGGAGGTCCAGTCTCCCACCCAAGGCAGGACACAGCAGAGGAGAGCCTCACGACACTGACAGTGACAAACACTTCCACTTAGGTAGCGGCTCCGCTGTGCCAGGCGCAGAATGTGCATCAACTCGTTTAATCTTTACAACCACTGATGCAGGGGGTACCATTGCCAATCCCATTTCACAGATGCAAGAAGCAGGCTTATCTCACACGCTGATTGGGAGGAGGCAGAGTGGAGCTGGAACCGGTTCTGACTGGAGGCAGGGGTCTGGACCCAGTGACCTCTGGAAGACCCCTGCTGCCCTGGCTGGTGTTCAGACGCGGTCTCATGCTCCAGTCCCAAGTAACTTCCAGCTCTTGGCTGCACGTGTCTTTTTTTTTTTTAATTTTTATTTATTTATTTTTTTGAGACAGGGTCTTGCTCTGTCACCCAGAGTGGAGTACAGTGGCATGAGCTCAGCTCACTGCAGCCTCCGCCTCCTGGGCTCAAGCAATCTTTCTGCCTCAGCCTCCTGAGTAGCTGGGGCTACAGGCATATACCACCATGCTGGCTAATATTTGTATTTTTTTTTTGTAGAGTTGGGGTTGTGCCATGTTGCCCAGGCTGGTCTCAAACTCTTGAGCTCAAGAGATCCACCTGCTTCAGCCTCCCAAAAAGCTGGGATTACAGGTGTGAGCCATGGTGCCTGGCCACACATGCCCTTTTTTTTTTTTTTTTTTTGAGACTGAGTTTAACTCTGTTGCCCAAGCTGAAGTGCAGTGGCAAGACCTCGGCTCACCGCAGCCTCTGCCTTCTGGGTTCAAGGGATTCTCTTGCCTCAGCCTCCCAAGTAGCTGGGACTACAGGTGCATGCCATCACGCCTGGCTAATTTTTTGTATTTTTAGTAGAGTCAAGGTTTCAACTGTTAGCCAGGATGGTCTCAATCTCCTGACCCAATGATCTGTCCATCTCGGCCTTCTTTTGAAAAGAAGTAAATACCTCCCTCCCACTCCATGAAAGGTTAGAACGGGCTGCTCAGATACCGGCACCCACTGTGACCCACTCTGCATGCTCCCT